ACGCGGGCAGGGCAGGGCGAGTGGGGGGCGGGGACTGCACGGAGTCACCTGTCCCAGTTCCCAGGTCGCGACTTCATGGCCTGGCAAGTGTCCTAACTTTGAAAGAGGGACAACGTAGAGGGCGAAACTTTACCGCCAGAGTCGAAGGCAGTGCGTTTCCCCGTGCGTCTTCCTTCTTTAAATGAAGTGATCCCTCTGTATGGTCTGACTCCACCCCGCACGCGCATCCCTTCCTCTAGCAGGCCTCGCAGTGATGCGTTTCAGACCTGATTTTGGTACCAAACGTCAGCAGGGGCCCAGACTAAGCCAATGGGGTCTAGAGTTGCCAAATGATTCCCAGGGACCGGGCGCGGTGGGGCAGAAGACATGGAGGGCGTGGACGTCCTGGCCCTGCATCCTCCGAGCCTCGCTTAGCATCGAAGGCAGCACTTGTTGGAAGTGTCGCGGGCCGCGGGACTTTCCCTTAATTAGCCTCCGGGACACACACCTCCCCAAGGTGGCTGGGAATTTAGGGGTGACGGTATCAAATAGCGCCCAAATGGAGAGGTGGCAGGAATTCACTTGGGTTCTTGGCGAAGTGCTTTTCCAAAGAACCACTTGGACAAGCGCCACCCTGTCGACTACTTCCACGGACCCACAGCGCCCACTAGCGGCCATCTTGACATCTCTGCGTGCGAGAGCACAATTGTCTACCCACCCCGACCCAGTACAACATCCCCCACCCCCACTTTCCCCCTCCATCTAATCGCGCAGAAAAAGTCCAAAAGACAACCTTTCTTAAATGACCAAGAGCTGACGAACACGGAGGAAATTAGGCACAGTACAGATGTACAGTTCAGTTTGGAAAAAAAAAATTATGCCGTATATCCACAATATGCTTTCAAAAACCTCGCGTTTACTCCAGAATTTAATGTTTCAGATGCAAAGAACTGAGCAGTATTCCTACAGTTGTAGTTCTTTATCCAACTTATCCGCAAAGCTAAATTTAAAACAGAAAATGTTAGAAACATCGTGTTTAGATACTAGTTTGCTTTCACCCTTGTTTTTAACGTTTGAAGATTTTTATGATGCATTAAGTATTCGGGTTTTGTTTTGAAATATTAGCCATAAATTAATGTATATTTCAACTGGGCATGTAAAAAAAATAGTAAAGGCTAGTTTAAGATCGAAAACGTTATTTAGGATACGCGAGGTTGTGAAAACATATTATTCCAAGTTTCTTTACTCGAGAAAACTTTATATTCAATGCTAGTTTTAAACAAGCCTCAACTCAAGGAAATAATTTTTAAAAGACTGAAAGGCGGTAAAACCGATTCCAGGGAATCAGCAGATTTCCAGAAGGGCTAAAAAAACACAGGAAAGGACAGGCAGTATTATTCATAAATTCACAAGGGTAAAAATAAGTCGTTTTTAATAAGCTTAAAGCATTCAAGAAATATATTTCTTAAATTTCTTAAATATTTCTTTTAAAATGTTCTTAAATTTCTTAAAATTTTATTTAAAAGCTACTAGCTTTAAGATCTTTTAAAAGAACTAAAAGTGAGTATTTTAGTACGTTTTTATTTAGCAAACGTACATTGTGAAGTTTAAGTTGTGACCTCTTAGCTCCTACATCCTCTCTTCAAGTTAACTAGAGGAAATAAAGGAAATTTGCATTGTCTGAAAATAACCATAGCTTCCATTTTTAGTAAATCAGATATTCTCACGTCCACAGCATTTTACCTTGAGAAAAATATAAATGTAACGTATAAACTCACTTCCTATTTTTGACAAAAAATTAAAATCCTACACAAGATTCCTGTTGTATAACTTTGGATTGTGTGAACATTTATCAACTTTCAGTAAATATGAATAATTAGCTATATATACTACGTGAAAAGCATCAGCAGCAACTTCAACATGCTAATGTTTCACTGCTGCTTAGACAGTAATTTCAGCAATTAAAGCATCACCTCAAATCATATGTCATGCCAGACAAAAAAAAAAAAGTCGTATGTACAAAAGACAAAGCTGAATTTTTAAGTATGGGAACCGAAGAAGAACCAATCACATCAGTTATTTAATACTTCTTTGCATTTAAAGGACTTCATTTTACAATTAAATTCTTGGAGAAACATGGTATTTTTTGAAAATCTAATTTACCAGCACATAATTAACCCATCAAAAATAAATTTTATTTTAGCATAAAAAGTTACTTTAAACTATTTCTAGAGTTAAGGAAGAAATTTCTAAATATCAAATTTAAAAAAATGGAATTTAGTCAATTACAAAAATAGATATAAATTTGAATGTCAAATGAGGTGGCAAATGCTTAATGCAAGTTTAAAAAAACAAGAGGGCAATCAATTTTGCCCAAGTAAATTCTTACTAGTTATGTTTCTGCCCCCTTTGAATTCCTGAGCATGCATTTATCTTTAGAACTTAAGTTTCTTATATATTCCTTGCATGGTAACCTATCAATTCTAATAAGTACTTCAAGACATCTTTAACATAACTTCTGTAAAAACAACGAAAAAACCCTTATCTAAATTTAACATTACTGAAAAAATTACTGAAACTTTATGTACTTAAATGTTGTCCAAGCCATGAACTTTCTATGGAGCTCTATATTTCTACTAAAACTGTACCTTTGTTTCCTGGCATTGCTTGCAATTTATTTCATACAAGTCACTTAAGTTTTTAGAACTCTTATGCAAATGCTCAATTTACTGGGGAAAACTTTGAAACAAGTAGAAAATAAAACCCTTCCTTAGATCAACTTTGTCATACACTCCTGCCCCATCAATAAAGCTCCTAAAATTCAGATCACACATTAAAGCTTCTTAAATCTACTTATGTATGAGTTTGGTAGAAAAGTATTAATTACAGTGGGTTCTTGGTCAAAAGAAAAATTTTCCCATTGGGAAATTTAGTGACAAATCATACATTATAGACCATACAACATATTCCTTATGAAACCAAAATACCATTTTCCTCTATAGTAGTCATCTAAATCTCTAGCTCAATCTACCATTGCTTTTACATTAATGCAAAAAAAGGCAGCACAAGTGGAAAGAATACGGTTATGGCTCCAACTATCTTATGCACCTGGCCTGAAAGAAACCTCATTTCCCTATTTGCAAATGAAGAACAGGTTAAGAGGACCAACCAGTCACTATTCCGAGTGGAATTGGTAGTTTGGTGAAGATACACTCACAGATAATATCTAGCTGTGCAGTTCTGATTGTAATAATTTAAATTCTCTTAAGTAGCATTCCCACTTTATGGACTGATATATATACTGCAGATTATAAAGTTAAATTCTGCCCTAAACATATAAGGGATATTACTGACAGCAGTCATTTGATAAAAGGTCTCCTAAAATGGGTTGATAAAATCATTTTTGCTCCCTCTTTAACCCACTTTATAGTAAGACATTTAACAGCGTTTAGAAATGGCTGCAATTATATATTCCTTTAATTCTTTGTCATTTATTTGATCCATAGTGAAAACCTTTAAAGTGAAGGAAGCAATCATTATCCAAATGTATACAAAGTACAAACCCATTTTATTCTGATGTAAATAAAGTCATGTTTAGTCAGTAACAATAGAAAATATACTGACACTATTAAACACACAGGCTCACTCTTGCCTGATAGTGAAACTGCTGGGCCAGTGAAGTAATTTTCAACTTACTGGCTTTCAGGTATAGAAAGACTAAAATATGTATAAAAAATACAACCATTTGAACATCCTCTAGTCCAGCGATAGCCAACCAGTGGTCCTCGGACCATTGGTCCCTGAGGTCCGAATGTTTGGCAACCATACAACCATTTGAACATCCTCTAGTCCAGCGATAGCCGACCATTGGTCCCTGAGGTCCGAATGTTTGGCAACTGCTGCCTAATCAACCATTGAAGACCCAGGAAAAGAACCACCTTTCCAAGACTTCTAATGATGTTCAATCACACACACAATTTTGATAGTGGGTCCTCTGTATCCCATTCCAGTGTTTCCCAGCTGCAAATCAAGTTATTTTAGTAACTACAGATACTAAATATATAAAATCAGGCAATGAGATCTAATAATCTGAAAATCAATGGCAAATCTGCTACAAAATGTATAGTGCAGTGTAATAACTACTCCAAGATTATGGACAATTATCTCAGTTGTGTGTGTTTTTTAAAAATGAGTAAACAACATGAATAACGAAGTTAATAGCAAAGGAATCAAGACCACCATTAGTGGCAATTCAACAAATGAAAAAATTAGGTCTACTGCTTGGGCTTTCAACACACATTCCTGATTTCTAGGTTGAGGCCCTTAATTCTTTTACCTTCAGTGGTCCTCTTAGGTCCTTTCACTAGTTAGTAACACTGTGATAATTGAGTGTTCATAAGAATACTGGAGGGGCCATAACCGGTTTGCTCAGTGGATAGAGCGTCGGCCTGCGGACTGAAGGGTCCCAGGTTCGATTCCGGTCAAGGGCATGTACCTTGGTTGTGGGCACATCCCCAGTAGGAGGTGTGCAGGAGGCAGCTGATCGATGTTTCTCTCTCATCGATGTTTCTAACTCTCTCTCTCTCTCTCCCTTCCTCTCTGTAAAAAACATCAATAAAATACTTTAAAAAAAAATAGTGCTCTTTAAAAAGAATACTGGAGGGCTCTAGCTGGTTTGGCTCAATGGTTGAGTGTTGGCTTGTGGACTGAAGGGTCCCAGGTTCGATTCATCAAGGGCACATGCCCGGGTTGCTGACTTGATCCCCAGTGTGGGGCCTGCAGAAGGCAGCCAATCAATGATTCTCTCTCATCATTGATGTTTTTCTCTCTCCCCCTGCCTCTCTGAAGTAATATATATATATATTTACATAGAATACTGGAGGGAGTGACAGGTCTCAAAAATTAAGATAGCCCATCTTCAAAATTTCTCATGGCCAGTAATATAAAACAAACGGTTCTGGGTATAAACAAAGAGAAAATTGAGAACTAAAAACAGAAGCTCTAGTTAATAGTAAAGCTTTGGAGAAATTTTAAGTGACAAATGGAGGATCCTTACTATAAAATGAAGCATTTCAAATGATATATAGAGTTCAATTAGCCAAGATTCTATGTTATTTTACTTCATAAAATAAACACGTACAAAACCACTGAAAATTCTTAAGTTGCTGGTGGCCATACAAAAAAGGCTTTGTGCATATATTAGCACAAGTAAATAACTCAATATTAAACTGAGGACAGAAATGGCCTAAATGGCTACATCTTTATAAGGAAAACTGAAGCAGTAAATCTTTAAATATAAACCCTTTCCCCTCTTTGCAAACATTAACCAGTCCTCACACCAAACTAATTTAAAGGTTTAGTTTATACAAATGAGTTAATTCTGCAAACTCAATATAAATGGCAATAACCATTTATTTTAAATACTGTAATAAAAAGTCATTAGTTAATTCTATAATGCACTAAGAAATAACCTAAAAAACAAAATTGTAAATAAAGGCATATTTAATAAATTAGGGAACATCCAAACTACTAATAGACTGAGACTCTGAACTTTTATAATAGATACACAAAGGCAGTGAAAACAAATTACTACACATTGTTGCAGCACAGAAGAAATCAGGTGTATTTTATTAACAATTACATCCTCTTTCCTATAGCCTGGCACAGGAACAATCTCAATATCTGATTTGAGTCTCCAACAGCAAGCAGATACTGCAGTATGTTATTACCAACTTACTGCAATGTGATTTCACACCAGATGTGGCAGTAAGATATTTTTTAAAAATTAAAGGCACGTGTAAGCTAATGTCAAATATTTTTAGTCTGGGTTACTTAGATACAATGTTTAAAACACTTGTATAGCAAAACAATTTTTCAATAAACATTTCCCAAAACTTGAATACACAACTTAGGAGCAATGGATCTGTACAAAAAAAAAACAAAAACAGTGTAAGAATCATGAAATTAGTTAACCTATATTTAGAAGTTGAAAAATAACTTGTAAGCAACCTATATACTTTAAATAAAGTGAATGGTTTAGAATAAGTATCATGTTTATTAAGTCAGTTCTCACTACAGTTCATGCCTATTTAAAATTCTATCTTTAAAGATGTGTAAACTGATTTTATTGTTCCGTACCACAATTAGACTTATAGAGCTCAAACTAAAGCAACAGCATTTTTCTTAGCATGCACACACAAAGTAATCTACCACTTAGTCATTTCATTAACTTATGTTTTCACTTTTAAGGACTGATCAAACTGTCTCAAAATATTGGAGAACATTTACTCTACTTTGATGACATGTTTATGCATCTCAGGTAACATTTTTATATTCATATCCTTTTCTTTAATAAATGTTTTAATACCAGTACACTTAAAAGAACATATGTAAAGATAAATGAGGCAGACTGTACTCTGTAAGAGTCATCCACATCACATGCAAAAACAAAATAAAAACTTGAAATAAGTTTGAATGTGTTTGTCCCCAAAATAAACGTGCAAGTACCCTACATTGCAGATGATTTGACTGCCTTAGCCTTTTGTGAAAGTACAAAGCTAAGTTCTTTCTGATGGCCCACTTTGAAAATAATCTAAGATCTATAAATTTGAGAAGCATTTTTCTTTAGTTTTCATTAAGTACAATTTATTGAGGTGATATTTATATCCTAAAATAGAGGTACAGGATTGAGAATTTAAATCTTTTTCTGAGTGCTTAGTACTTCTTAAAGGTAATACTGATGTCATAATTGCTGTATCAGCATAAATATTTGTAAAAATAGCCATTAAATACTAATCCATGAGTATATTTAATATACATATAAATCCTATGTTAAAAGTATGAGAAGAAATGTAGCATAGTTCTAGGATTTCTAAATTGCTGACCATCAAAAAGTAAACCACCCTCTTTAAGACTTAACAGAACTTTAAAAAAAATTGCTTCAACATATGAATTTAAGACGACTTTATTCAGCAAAATCATTTATTTACACAATGGGGAATGCTGGTTTGATTTTGTCAGTGAAATAAAAACAATTTGAACAGAGACAATACTGAACTGTATATATTTTGTGTTAGAGCTGACCAACTGTTTCCTTACCTGTATCAGGAACATCAAGAGCAACAGTATCATGAGGACACTGATTTAACAATATACCACATAGGTCCATAACACCCCAGGAGCTTCCAATGCAATTACCAACTTTTTCTTTTTTTATAAATATATAAAAAAACAAAAAGTCAGCAAAACCAGCATTATGATGTAGTAAACAGAGTATAACTCCGAAGTCTGTGGGTCAGTAAAAACCTTATCAGACCATCCACAATTTATAAAGTGATCTGCTCTTCTTCAGATCACTAACACAGAATCCAAACAGGTGAAAAATATATCACTTTCTAGAAGATAACAATGATCTGATAAGGATTTCACTTAATAGAAGTTAAGGGGGAAGAAAAGGAACTGCAGAGCATAGCCCCTATTAGAACAAGCTAACTTTCCAGATTTTCCAATTTAAAAAAACAAAAACAAAATGAAACAAACAAAAAAAAAACACTTCAACATGAAGCTACAATACAAAGTTTTTCCATTTTTCTTTGTAAAAAGTTCAGAGTTTGCAATTTAATCCTGGGTTTTTAAGGAGAAGGACAGTTTGGGCCTGGACTTCCCCTTGCCCAGGATAATTTTTTGTTCTTCTTTTTGTTGACGTTGTCGCTCTTGTTCTAGTTTCATCCTTTCCTCATGAATCTTTCTTTGTTCTTCAACAATTCTCAACTGTTCTTCAGCCTGAAAGTTAGAAGTAAAAAGTTGAAAATTCTGTGAATTTCATGGCTTTCATTCGTGGTATTTGGGAAATTAGGTGAGAATTTTTAATCAATAGAAGCAAACAATAGTATGTTTAATAAAACTTGGCCTAACATCACACAAACAGTGAGAAGAAAAATATTGAGAATTAGAAACGAATTTATTAATTATTCCTACATTTTCTAATTTTTAAAGAAAAAATATAAAGAAATTATAAAAAAGCATTTATATATTTTGAAAATGAAAATTTCTACAAGCCATGCTTGAGGTCAGTATACTTTTAGTCCTGTTACATATTTTTATAGATACCTTCAGTACCATTAGATTAACAGACTGTCAATTACAAACCATGGTATGGATTTATTCAGAATATTTTACCTACCAACTATGATAGCTAAATACATAATTAGCAAGCCATACAAAAAATTATAGGAGAAATCCTCACTGGGACTACATTACATTGTCAATATACAACCAAAAAATAGTAAAAGCCTCTTTCTTTGGAGAGAAAAAAGTTAAAACTTTTTTAACCTGGCTGACTAGAAAATGCTGTCAATTTCAAATGGATACTTGTATAATTAACTCCTGCAGTGTGTTCAACTCCTTCAGTCTCAAAGCAACCACTTCCTTTAAGCATTCACTATAGATTTCCCCTCTGCCAAAAATACAGGCCAGTCACATGATCTTCTTCCTCAACAAGTCTCTCCTTGCACCCCAAAGGTACCATGCCTTCTTCCTTATTAATTTACAACCAGGTGCAACTTTACTCCTCTCTCAGGGGACATCAGGCAAATGTGTGATGGTGATTTTGGTTGTCACAATGGGGGAAATGGCTCCTGGCACCTAGCAGATAGAGGACAGGTATGCTGCTAGACATCCTACAGTAATGCATGGGACAGCCCTCCACAACAAAGAATTATCTAACCCCAAATGTTAATAGTGCCAAAGTTGAAAAAACATTTTCTAACTCTTGGATTTTTAATCTCAATGATCAATGAGTTGTCCTTTTTTCTGTATCTGACCTTGATCTTAAAACATTCACAGAATCCTTTGAATGCCTACCTATTCGCAAACTCAAATATTAAAATGTCATTACTTCCATCATCTCCATTAATTCTACTGAAATTATTTTTTACATGGTCAAAAACTAACAGTAAGTTTAGTGCCCGTTCTCTTCAGTCATTCTCCTGCCCTTGAACTTGAGTCTCCTGTTTATCTCCACTGATAGGAAATGGACTCAGAATGCAAGATAAAATGTTGAAATTTTATCTTGCGGGTAAGAAAAAGCCCATTTTTTTAAATACATAATTAACACAAAGAGGTTTATTTTACTTTTTGCTCTCAGATGGGGAGTGGTGGTGGTGACAGGCTAAAAGGTGAAAGGTAAGACAGTGGGGGGCAAATCCACTGTGACCAAGTAAGGTCAGAGATGAGGTAGATCAGAATTATAATAGGGGGAATCTGGTGGGTAGGCAAGATGGAAAAGTAGATTTCCATGTATTTCTAGGTCTTCATAGTCTCATAAGGTGGAAAATCCAACACAGAACTGAAATCTATCTTCTTCCTCTCAGATCTTTTTCCTAAGCTATATTTTCAGCTGGCTAATGAACATCCACCTGGGAAAGCTCTGGGCACCTTCAAATTTCAACATGTTCAAGATTTAAATTCCAGTAGCCTAACCCTAAAATACACCAGCCCTTTCAACGTTTCCCACTGCCATCCACATACTATAGTTTTCTGTCTTTTTCCTCTTTTCCTGACAACATCAAATAATCATAAAGTTATGTTCTCTCACCTAGAGTTTTTTTTTCCCATTTCCAATTGTTACGTAACTCAGTGGTTCCCAAACTTATTTGGCCTACTGCCCCCTTTCCAGAAAAAATATTACTCAGCGCCCCCTGGAAATTAATTTTTTTTAAATTTTAATAGCAATTAAACAGAAAGATATATGTATTAATGTTTCTACCTTTTTCGTAAAATATAGTAAAGAAAGGTGTAAATTAGAAACATTGAAGTTTGAAATTATGAAACTATTTATTGAACTCAGAATAGAAAGGTAATACAAAAAAAGTTAAAACAAATGCACCTGTGGCCATCACCGCCCCCGCTGGATCGCTGCAGCACCCACCAGCGATGCCATAACTGTTCAGGGCATATCTCTTACAAACTTAAAATCGTTTCTGTTTCTAGTCCCTGCCCTTTGATCCACCCTACACAATGCTGCAAGTCTCAACCTTCTTAAGCATTGCTCTCTCCTGCCCTCAAACTTCCAATGATTTTCAATGTGCACAGAATATAGCTAATTTCCTAAATTAGCATACTACCTAGGACTTCCTTTTATACGGCCCCAACTGTTTCTACTGTTCTCTCTTAAATTGTCCTTTCTATCTTGCTTCCCCTCCTCCTCCTTTGCTCATGCCACTTTTCCTCCTATTGAAATCCAGTCTGTACACCAAAATCCACTTCAAATCACCACTCTCTTGCTTAGACTTTCACTGGTAATTACAATAAAAAATTATCTGCTACTGACCATCTTTAGTAAAATCATATGCCAATTACTTTACCCACAGTTTTAATAAATCATCACACATTTGGAGGTAAGAGCTGGCATGTGCAACTGAATCAAAGTAAAGATTCTTAGTGTGTGCGCGTATCCTTGGGAAACCCTCACCAACACCCAGACTCACTTTTCCCTAAGGTTCTAATTCAGCCCCGAGGAAAGTAGATTATAACCTTGGGGAGTGAAGGGTTTGAACATCACAACCTCAAGACATAAATCTATTTACAAATAGCATTTTTTACCCTGTCACATTGATAGAAATTCCAAAGTATAGTATCAAGTGCTAGCTTATGAAGAGTATATTGGCAGTAATCTACTAAAATTGCATCTTCATAGTACTTTTACCCAGCTATTTAATTTTCTGGAATTTTATTCCATAAGTGAACTTGCACATATGCAAAATTATACAAAGTTATTTATTGCAAACATAGTTTGTAAAAGACTGAAAAACCCAAATATTCACCAATACGGAACTATCAATAAATTACAGATCTATAAAACAAAACATCGTGAAGTTTTTTTAGAAAAGGTGTCCCCTATATACTAAAATAGAAAAAATCTCCAAGTTACACTATTAAGTGAGAAAAGCAAAGTACCAAATACTATGTATCATATGTTACTTTTGTGCAAAAAGGGGAAAATAAAAATGTATGCTATTTGTATCTGCCTAACAATGCATTATAAACTCTGGAAAAACAAAAACATAATTGAATATGCCTTTTGGAAATGGGAATGGTTAGTGGATGGACAGGGGAAAAAGGTAGAAGATTTCACTGCTTATTTTTCTAAAACAAATTTTTGAATCATACAATCACATTACCTAATCAAAAAATTAAAAACAAACAAGATTTTAAAAGTAATTTCTTTTATAGACAAACAATACTAATTCTACTGCAATGAAATTACTTTTAGATTGGATAAAGAAAAAGTTTCAGTTTCACTTAGGTCTACAAATATAGGCAATAAAAGTATGTATGTGTGTACAGCAGCTGTATTACCACAGGTAACAGGGGTACCCTTAGTGTCTTACAAGTAAGTACTTGATAATGGAATAACTTTTATAAATAAACAGGTGACTATCCTGTCTTTACATTAAATATTTGTATTTTGTTCTATTATAGCTTTAAAATAAGCTTAAACATTATTCAATCACAGCTTGGCAAAAACAAACAAACAAACAAACAAACAAACAACAAGAAAGAAAAAGTAGACTTGTCTAGTAAAAACCAAAGCCATCTCTCATCTTAATACAGTGGCTCTCAAGTGATGAAAAACCGGTTTCCTGCCCATCCATTTGTATGGTCCGACCCTATACCTTATTTGTTTGATACTCTTCTAAACCCTACCCTCTCTCTGCAGTAACTGCCTGACTTGCTGTATCGTTCCTGATGACTCCATTTGCTAGAGAATATACATTGTTCCTTCCCCTCTTGTTTCAAATTTATGCAAAAGGCATTATTCGCAATGATGGAGGGAGGAAGGTATGTGCATGTGTGTAAGTATGAACAATACTAAGCTCTCCTATAAGAATTACATGTTACGCATCATGGAGGCCAAAGAGAAAGCTAACACCCATAATATTAGAGTCATTACACCCAGGGCCCTGTTATGTCTCACAAAGATGGCTTTCAATTCTATACCTCACTCCAAAAATTGGCGAGATGAAATACACAAAAGCAAAACATACCATTATAGAAGGCCTATTTATCCCTCTCAGTATCTTCTGTTCCAACTTCCTTTACCTAGAGGTCTTACTGCCATTTAAAAAATTATCGGAAGCGTTCTTCTTATACTGTCTAGTTTTAGATTAAGGTAATCCTTTGCAGCAGTCTCTAACAAATAAGAATACTGAAATCTACTACTCTCCACCTAAAACATGTATTAAATTTAAAAAATACAGACAGAAATATTTTATATGTTATAGGAATGATGGAAAAAAACAAAAAAATATTATTTAGGAATCATGCCACTAAGAAATAACTCAAAACTATTGGTTCAACAAGATAAACTAGCACTACTGACCTAAAGTCCCATGCTGCCAACAACATTATCATATTTCCCTTCTTTCCTTAAATATTTATTATTTTAATGGGGCTTTCAATAGGAAGATGAAAGGACAACAAAAGTAGAAATCTCAGTATGTGTCTTGCATCTTTATACAATAACATTTAAAAAATACATTTTTATTGATTTCAGAAAGGAAGGAAGGGATAGAAACATCAATGATGAGCGAGAATCACCAACTGGCTGCCCCCTGTACACTCCCACCGGGGGTCTAGCCCAGCATGTACCCTGACCCAGGAAATGGACAGTGAGGAACAGTGACCTGGTTCATAGGTCAAGATTCAACCATTGAGCCACACCAGCCGGGCTACAATAACATTTTTTTGTGTCCTCCTACACAAACGATATTCTACTTTCCTTGAAAGCATATAGAACCAAATAAAAGTTTCTCCAACATCAATAATAATTTCTTATGCTTTCAAATTTACTGAACACAAGAAGTAAATTAGTTAATTATGCCTAAATTCTTACCAAAATTTCTCAAATTCAAACTTCTTTTTCCAAAAGATACCTTTTCACTGAAGTTTTATTGATAACATGAAGTCAGAATAGTGTCAAACACAAATATTCTAGAACCACTAGTGCTCAAGGCCCATGGACCAGTGGCAGTCTGCAAACTAATAGATCCACAGGTATAAAAGTGTTTTAGAAGCTTTAAAAAAATTTATTTTTCTATTATTTGTCTTAACAGTATTATGCAAAAGTAGGACTCTAAGGCATATTGAAATTACAATACAAAAAATAACTGAACAATTACCACCACTTGAGCAATACTGCTCTGTAATGTATTTGCTCATCTTTTCCCAGACACACAGAAAATAAGGTTCATGAGGGTAAACAAAAAGGCTACTAGATGAAAATCAAGAGGCCAAACTGTCCCTAGACACCTAGGCACCCAGACACCCAACCCAGAGTTAGAAGGAATCAAAATCTTGGCAGGGCACACTAAGTTAAGAAGCTTTGCTCTAGAAGTCACAATCTGGCATTCCAGGCCACCCACAAAGAACTCACTACCCTATCCAATCTCTTATGTCCTAAGAGAAATTCTATTCTACTTGATGGAAATTCTGTTTCAATCAATGTTTTAAATAGCAATTATAGAGTCCCTCTCTTCTAGAAATATCCATGCCTTACAAACCATACTGTATTTACCTTTCAAAGTTCAACCTTCAAAGCTCAAATTAAGATGCACACTTTCTTACTTCCTCCTAACTGCACTGAGATTTTCTCCTTACATGTAATCACTAAGAAACATTATCACATACAGGGTGGTACAAAAGTAGGTTTAACCCAAGCCATTATGCTCAATTAATACTTGACAAAGGAGGCAAGAGCATACAATGGAGTCAAGACAGTCTCTTTAATAAATGGTGCTGGGAAATTTGGTCAGATACATGCAAAAAAAAAGAAACTAGATCAGCAACTTACACCATACACAAAAACAAACCCTAAGTGGTTAAATCACTTAAACGTAAGACGAGAAACCAAAAAAATCTTAGAAGACTCCATAGGCAACAAAATATCAGACATATGTCGTAGCAATATCTTTACCGATATAGCTTGTAGGACAATGGAAACTAAGGAGAAAATAAACAAATGGAACTACATCAAAATAAAAAGCTTCTGCACAGCAAAAGAAACCATCAACAAAACAAGAAAGCCCACTGCTTGGGAGACATATTTGCCAATGCTATTTCAGATAAGGGCTTAATCTCCAAAATTTACAGGGAACACATACAACTTAACAAAAGGAAGATAAACATTCCAATAAAAAAATGGGCAAAGGACCTAAATAGACACTTTTCGAAAGAGGACATACAGAAGGATGAAAGACATATGAAAACATGCTCAAAGTCACTAATCATCCGAGAGATGCAAATCAAAACAACGATGAGGTACCATCTCACACCTGTCAGAATAGCTATCTTCAACAAATCAACAAGGACAAGTGCTGGCGAGCATGTGGAGAAAAAGGAACCCTCGTGCACTGCTGGTGGGACTGCATACTTGGTGCAGCCATTGTGGAAAACAGTATGAAGTTTCCTCAAAAAGGTAAAAATGGAACTCCCGTTTGACCCAGTAATCCCACTTCTAGAATATACCCCAAGAAACCAGAAACAACAATCAGAAAGGATATATGCAGCCCTATGTTCATAGCAGCACAATTTACAATAGCTAAGATTTGGAAACAGCCTAAGTGCCCATCAGCAGATGAGTGGATTAAAAAATTGGTATGTCTACACAATGGAATACTACGCTGATATAAAAGAGAAGGAACTTTTAACATTTGCAACAGCGTGGATGGTACTGGAGAACATTATGCTAAGTGAAATAAGCCAGTTGGAGAAAGATAAATATCACATGATCTCACTCAGATGTGGGATAATAATGATCAACATAAACTGATGAAAAAAAAATAGATCCAGAGATAAGGTGCAGGGGAGGGTGGGGGTGGGGGTTAGAGATCAACCAAAGAACTTGTATGCATGCATATTAGCATAACCAATTGACACAGACAGTGTGGTGGTGGGGCTTGCCCTCTGGGGTGGGAGTGGTGGTGGTGGTGGGGTCAACTGGGGGAAAAAATGAGACATGTAATACTTTAAACAATAAAAACATTTTTTTAAAAGTATGTTTATAGTAGTGAGTACACAAGTTTATTCTTGTATTATTATTGTATTTTTACATGAACTATAAACCTACTTTTTCCCCACCCGCTACTTATTGATAAGTAGCGATGTATCTTATAGTGACTCCTTCTCCAATCCATTGTATTGCTTTTTCTACTTAAGCAGATTTTAAAGTCTTTTTACTGAAAAAGCAGAATTAAGTCTTCCCCTTCCATTCTGGCTTTCAAAAAAACCAGGACAGTGATATTAACTAAGAATTCATTATACTGTGCTCACTAAGTTGCTTAAGGTATTTCCAGCATTGGCTCTTATACAGGGCACAATATCTTTTTTAAAAAACCATGCTCCAAAACAAGAGTGGAGAACCTTTTCTCTGCCAAGGGCTATTTGGATATCTATTAACATCATTTGCGGGCCATACAAAATTATCAACTTAAAAACTAGCCTGCTATATTTGGCCAAACATTTAATTAACTTAACCCTTAATGCCTTGGCAAGGCCAGACCAAATGATTTTGCAGGCCTTATATGGCCTGTGGGCTGGATGTTCCTCACCCCTGCTTTAGAACCAACTACCCCCAAGATTCTAACTTTTTTATATTCTTATCAACTATGGATACATTTTCTATGGTTCTCTTTCACTTCCACCTTCAATGAGATCCACTGTTAATTACTAATACCATCCCAGATCTTTTTCAGTGCCCTTATAAACAGTCACAGAATTTGTTTTTTCTAAACCACTTAACTAGAGCTTGCAACTTGCTTTTCCCCCTCCAGTCAGCAGTATGACTTAGCTGCAAATGTCTTCCTATGGCTGTATGATTTTCAACACATTTCTAAATAGACAAAACTTTTTTAGACATCTAGAACCAAGAGTCTCTTTTGAGCCATGTCTTCATTCTGGGTACTAAACAGCACTAATCCCTCATTCATCCTAAAGTAAAATCCCTTCCATCTCTGACTTATATTTTTACTTGGAAGTAGAATCACCCATATGCCACGTTCATGATGAAAAGGCTTTTTTCCCCTATACAGAAATGTCTGATTATCCTTTGGTTTTTGGAATATTTATGTCCACAGACTTTTAATTCTAGCATTCTTTTTCATCAATTTTTTTTCTATTTTTAAAAAATTATTTCATCCTCGCCAGATAGCTCAGTTGGCTAGAACGTTGTCCCGATATGTAAAGGTTGGGGGTTTGATCCCCGGTCAGGACACATACAAGAATCAACCAATGAATGCATAAATAAGTGGAAAAAAATTACCTCAATATCCTTATGTTGGCTTCTTTAAAATTTAAAAATTGCTTTATGTCACCTTTTCCATCTCTGTATCATATTATAATTAATTGATTCTCCATACTTATTAGATTATAAACTTGGAATAGGAAAAAGAAGTTACTAATCTGGTACACTTATCATATATATATATGAATATATATGATCCATCTATTATGTCTAGCAATCGGTAACAAGGCAACTAATGCAAAGTGAAATGTTGCTTATTAGTTGGTTTAAATACTTTTAAGACTGTTTTCATTATTTCAGGCACAGAAGTGTGAATGAGGGTAGAATAAAAAATAAAAAAAATTGGGAATGAAGGTAGTACAATTTTCTCCAGGAAACTGGTTTTAAACAACTGCAAATTTCGGAATTTTCTTCAGATTAATTAGAATATCTGGATGGTCCCCAAATAGATTACTGTGGAACACAGTAGCTAAATTCTAGTCAACTATTCCACTCTTGCCTCAAATACCTTAAAATGACCCTGAGAACTAATCTATACTAATAAAAGGGTAATATGCTAATTAGACTGGGAGACCTTCCAGACATTCTTCTGGACAAAGCCATGGTGGCGGGGCCAAGGTAGAGGCAGTTAGAGGCCAAGAGAGGAGGGCAGTTGTGGGTGATCAGGCCAGGATGGGACGGCAGTTATGGGTAATCAGGCTGATGGGGGTGGGGCCGTTGGGGGTAAGCAGACCAGCAGGGGGCCAGTTGGGGGCGAGCAGGCCAGCAGGCAGAGTGGTTAGGGGCAATCAGGTAGGCAGGCAGGCAGGTGAGTGGTTAGGAGCCAGCAGTCCCGGATTGTGAGA